ACTATTCGATATTAATCCTAGGATATTAAATACCTGGCTAAAAAGACTAGGTGAACTGGCAGGCTTTGACCTGTCGATTGCATCATACTGGCTCCGGAGAGGGGCTGGTGAAGCTATGAATAGTAGCTGTATGTCCTGTACATATTTTACATACGCGTGAGGAGTGCTCTACTGACCTATTTCTAGGCGAGATCAGTGAAGCTCAGCAGAATCTACTCCTCCAGCATGCAGCCAACTCGTCTGTATATCAGGAACGTTACGCGCCAGATTATTTCCCCAAAGATTTCAGCGCGGTGTGGCGAGGCAGCCAGCTTCAAACTGATGTAATGCGGATGGCCAGTGGGCAAACCCGTTCGATTGACCTGCGTCGCCCGGTCGATCTCAACGAGGCTCAGACAGTGGCAGCCGATGCGCAGCCTGAGGTTCAACGTTGTAAGGCGCGCTGGCAGCAGTCTCGACTGAAAGTCCAGATGGTATATGGAGCATTATCCAAAGGCAAAGGAACACCGTTGTATCAAAAAGCAATGAAGAGGCGGAATGCCTACCACACCGCACGTCAAGCGTCTCGTCGTGAGATGAAGGCAGTTATCCGAGCTCGGTTTAATGAGGAGCAACCAACAGAGGATATTATACGGCAGGTACATGGGCTTCCAATGAGATCTATGAAGGCATATAAGACTGAGCTCGTCCCCCTTGAGCAGCAGCGCGCGTTTTCTCTTCTTTTCCGGTTTGCCCCTAACACAGAGCGTGATGAAACTGAGTGCAGAGCTGCAGTCATTGATGCGGTGTCTAAGGTTGGGCCGAGCCGTAAACGCCGGCTTCAGGAAATACATAGCGAAGGCCCCACACCTGGGTGGGTGACAGCAGCGCTCCAAGGTAAACAACAAGTCCAATTGGCGCGACGACAATGCCTCTTGTGTATGATCTACGGTGTTCGCGGAGAGCCTTTCACTCGAGATTCAAGCTTCGAGCGGCATATCCGTAGGATCCATAACAAGCAAATACAGTGTCCTGATCCTGCCTGTCAGGATATGCTTATTGGTCACATTGACATTGCTAATCATATGCGATATATACATGGAGCATAGTATTTCTATCTTTTATAACTGCTTTTATTGGTTCTCAAAGTGTACGTTGTATCCGAACCCCTGTTTTTAGAGATATTGTTTTTTCCGAGAAAATGCGTTTAATAGTCTATCTGAGTTAAGTTTATAGAATAATACTTATTCTATATATAAGGATTAGGACTCTTTTTCTTGCTTGAAGCAAGTGTAGTAAAACCTTACCTTACTGATTAGTCCTATACTTACTCGCTGAAACACACCTGAAAGTGAAGGTTTCAAGATTTTTCAAAAGAGGTATAAAGCATCTGAAAAAGAGAGAAGAACCATTTCCCACTCACATTCGTGCGACTTAGTTAATTATAGGCGTTTCTCTTACATTCTACTTAGCTTAAAGGGCTTAATCTAAGTAGTAGGTCACCTATTACAATAGTATTTATACTTTTATTATACCTAGTAGCTACTTTGACCACTCTTTCAGATAATATCGACTAAATATAACAAATGTCCCTCTAGTATATCCTGCTGCTTTAGAGCTATTCTCCGATGTTCTGTAAGCCCTGAACTGATATACTTCTAATACAAACTGTCAAGTATTTAAAACTTTACTGCTTCCTCGCCTAGTTGTATAGCAAAGAAGTCAGCATACTCTTGGTCAATTCGTCTTAAAGCTGCAGTGAATTCTTGTTGAGATTTCTGGAGCTTTGTGAAACTAGTATCAATCCTGTCGATCATAACGCGGTAGTCATCAATCGCAGTGCGGAGTAAGCTTGCGTTGCGAGACCATATAGTACCAAGCACGCTTTGTCTCAATAAGACAGATTGTCTCTTGTTATTTGCGGTTAATGTATCAAGGCGGTGGAGACAAGCACGTAATTCTTGAACTGCTGAATACGCGAGGAGGACAGTTTCAATTTCAGCTTGGAGCAGGATCGATGCTCGCCGAACCTTGCGATAATAGGCATTCTCAGCTCGTAAATATGATGCCTCATATACTGCTCGCATAAGACGATCCTTCTCGGTATGGAGTTCCTGCTTCGACCACTGTAACCGACATGGGAGCAACTCCACAGCGGAGCTATGGCCCCCGTGCTGTACAATCTGGAACTCAACTGATGTTGGTCGGTCAGGTCGGGACCAATTATCAGTGAAACTTGAAGCCGTGGAAACTGCTTGGGGACGGGCTCGTTGTAGCTGGGTTATTGACAGAAGAGGTTGATGGAGCTTATCACTGGCCATAGTTTACCGAAGAAAAGCTCATATCCACCGTACTGGATCCAACATGTATTAGCAATAAAGAGGAAGAGGGATATATAAAGATATATAGCTAGGAATTGTTGTAGAACAATAGGAAAAATAGTACATAGACATGACTTTATACAAGATCAACCCGTGTCATCATTAAGATACTATATCTCAGATCAAAGAGCGAATCAACGGCCTAAATTACTATAGTAAAATAGTCCACTACCCAATAATAATGAACTCTAAAACCTATACAAGCTAACTAAATTTCTGAAGTAAGCTATTTTTGAGAATAGCTATATTTATAGCAAAAAGAAAAACCTATAATATATGTGGATATATAGTCAATCCTTGCATATATACATTGGTAATTCCTGGGTCATGCTTTCCTATTGTATTACCCAATGGAAGGAGAGCAAAGGACATCGACGGCACGTTGAGGCAAGAAGATCGATTAATCGTCCCCCTACATCTAACCCGACATTCAGGACATGGCACATATATATGGTCTGATCCCAATCGTTTGTCGTTATACTTCTCGTAGACAAGTAAACTAGAACACACGCGATGGAACGTATGACCGCAGGGCACTGCAATGAAGTCTTGCACACCCGTCTCGAGGCATATAAGACATTTTATCCCTTTCTGACTATTAATGGGATGGGAAGATGTTGAAGCTACAGAGTGTCCGGAAACTGGTGTCACCACTCATACTCTTTGATTGTTTCCGCAACCCTAAAGTGAAACAGCGCTAATCCCACTTGGGATATTACTTCGGAGCATAATTTTCCCGTGTATGTATTGTAAAATACAAAGAAGTATCATAACCGATATATTTTACCGGGTGACAACGTCCACGTGTCATCCGTTGGATATTCGGTGTCTGGATAATAAGCTTATAGTAACGAACTTGGCCATCAAGCACTACATAGTGTAACTCGGAATGCCTCCTAATCTAGCTCAATCAACGCTTAACCTTATCCAGGATATGTTGGTTTCTGGTGAACTAACCACTTCCCAGATGGCTGAAGCTGCTGGGTGCAGTAAACGCGCAATTATCCGACTACGCGCTAACCTTCGATTATTTGGTAGTATCAAAGCGCCTCAAGTCAATGGTGGACGGCCACGGAAGATTACATCAGTGATGCTAGAAGCACTCTGTGATTATCTTCTGGAAAAGCCACACTTATATCTCGACGAAATGGAACTCTTCTTGCTGGATGAATTCAATATCCCTGTACCAAAATCCACTATCAGTGATGCGCTTCGCCGTAAAGGCTGGTCCAAGAAGGTTATCCGGCAACAAGCAAGAGAACGCAATGCTGATTTACGAGATGAATATACGCATTTCATCTCAGATTTCTGCTCGTACCACCTGGTTTATGTTGACGAGTCTGGGTGTGACAAACGGATAGGCTTTAGGAGAACAGGGTGGTCTCCGAGCGGCACAACACCGATCCAGGTGGCTAGATTCCATCGAGATCAGCGCTATCAGATACTTCCTACGTACTCCCAGGACGGGATTGTACTTTCTCGTGTGTTCCGAGGCTCAACGGACGCGGCATTCTTTGAAGATTTTATTGAAGAACTTCTCGAGCACTGTGGACGGTGGCCTGAACCTAAATCAGTTCTTATCATGGACAATGCATCTTTTCATCATTCCGAACGAATTGAGCAAATGTGCTCTGGAAAAGGTGTTAAACTGGTATATTTACCGCCCTATTCGCCGGATTTGAATCCAATTGAGGAATTTTTCAGTGAGCTAAAGACCTTTATTCGGCGGCATTGGCAGTCATACGAGAATAATCCTGAGCAGGGGTTTGACACATTCCTTGAATGGTGTGTTGAGAAGGTTGGGCAACGGGAGCAAAGTGCAAAGGGGCACTTTCGGCATGCAGGGTTGGACATTGAATTGCAAGATACAGAGCTGTAAGTTACAGCAATTTTGCCCAGGCTAAGGCATTGTGAATGAGATTCGTCATTTGCTGACTCTAGGCCTCACTGGTCCTGTAGTTGTTCGTGAGCAGCTTCAGGCACCCACTCTTGTTTTCGTCACTGGTCGTCTGCCATTCTAGCCTACTTTAAAGACAGTTGATTATACTCTATAAACCAAGATTGTCTGTAGTCTCAGCATGAATAAATTATTTAATATATAAGTTTTAGAGTTTTATCATTTCTTAGCTCTGAGTGGGACAAGGCAAGATAGGATGTTAGGCTGTCTTATCGGGAGATATATATCTAGATTGTAAGATGTCCACTAATACGGATAATGATCTTAGCTCTAGCTGTTCATATATAAATATATAACAAACACGGAGGGCTATGGCAAAGAGCATGTTTTACGTGATATTCAAACCCAACTGTCTCGGTTGAGTTGGTATTCCTTGACCCAGTCATTAATCTCACTCACAAATCTGCGCGCGACCCCTATTTTCACACCTTGTCCGACAAAAAAGTTGGGATCTTGATCATGATATATTTGCTTCAGGTCAAGGCAGTTCTCCAATGTCACGTCACGTGCCTTCCTGATATTTTCCTTGAAACTCTCTGTGCTGACCCGTGACAACTGCCAAGCGGTGTATTCCTCTATGGCTACTTCAAGTGCCCCTGGGATTTCAATGGCGCTCCTCGGGGTTCTCGAGTCAATGTCAGCGTGAGCCGACGAAGATATTGCCACAGGCTGGGATGACTGTGCTGGCAGTACGTTGATATTAATCGGAACAGTAGATGCAGCGGCGGGATGCCCAGGAGCCTTCCATCGTCTCTCAAGTCGTTGCTGCTCCTCTGCGTACAGCTGTTCACGAATCATGTCGGGAACATCATCATGGGTTTCTATATTACCGCCTTCTTTTTCCACATATCTCACAAGTTTCCTCAGATGATGTGTCCGTAATTTATAATGCTTCTTCCCATTCGGGTCCTGCCAGCAGTACTGTGAATCTAGGTGGCATGGTGCACCAGGACAGCGCATTACTCGGTATACATCCCGCCAAGCTGAAGGTTGCCCAGAGAAGTGTTCGGCATCGATCTCAGCCGCTCGTGTGTTGAGCATCCTTCTGGTTACGGATGTTTGTCCTCTTTTGTCGGTTCCCGACAAAGCTCGTCGGAGTCTAGGTAGTTAATGGAAATACAAAGTCTAAGCTTTTTGCCCTGATGGAACAGGGTTTCCCATATCATGAGCTGTCTTTGGATAGCTGTCCAGTCAATATCAGTTCTTTCAAAGCGTTTGGTAAGATCTCGCTGGGAGCGATCATTTACGGAGACCACCACCGTGGTGTCATCTAGCCTCACCCGTCGGTTGCGAGCTATTTTCCGACGTAGTATACTTTCGGCTTTTTGTTTTATCTGTTGCCAGTACGAACGAGGGTTCAAAGCCAGGTCTTGTTCTGTGTCCTTTGCCACCACGCGGTTGTTCAGAGTTACTCTCCACTCTATCATATATTGAATCGAGGTGCGCTGCTCTTCACCATCTGTCCTCTCATCATCCCACCCGGTACCCTGGATGGAATCTGGCTGGGCGGGTGGGGTATGACGCAAAGGGGTGTAACTTCGATTACCATGGTCAGAAGGGCTATACCTGAACGGTGTGCGTTCACGGCCAAAGTTCCCGGGGGTGGGGGCGTACGATGGGGTTTGTTCCTATGGATCAATCTGTCGAAGTTGAGAGGCGATATCGCTTAAAGGGCTAAACGCCACGTCCTCAAGGCAATAAATGCCGCCGAGGAGCCTAACAAAGAAAAACCTTGGTCGTTAGCGGCGAAAGGGGGGGTTCTTCTGAGTTAGTTGCTATACAAGGGTCAGGGCTGCTGCTAACAGGCTAACTATGATAACGAGCAGGGCCATGTGGATTGCACTACCTATCCTGCTCAACCTTAGATGGGAAGGATGAAGGTTCAGGGGGCCAAGGTCTTGACAGGTGTCAAGGAACAGGTTTCCGTGTTTGTCTAGTTTGCATGCGAGCGGGTGGGGCTGCTGACCAGAGACGGTTAACTTCCCTTCGGGAATTCGTAAAATCGATCGTTCGGTCGGTCCGATATTACGCCGACTGCCCTTGGCCCAATGGAACCAGATCAAGTAGCTCCGCCAACAGACTCGTGTCTAGTATTTTCTTCAATTTACCTACGTCAAAAGGACACTCTCACGGGACAGTCTTCTTATCAGAGGTCAAAGAATACAACTCGACCGATCCTAACATCTACTGCCATAGCTGAGAGGATAGTGATAGCTTAGCAATCTCTTGTATCTCGACGAGATCTCGTATAGCAACTGTAATTGGTTAATACAAGTAGCTAGATCGCTGCCTTTCAGCCGCGCCAACACATCGAAATGCGGGGTGTCATTTTATAGGAACAATAACAATAGCACCCAATTTTATCTTAACCTCCTGAAGTCTTAGCTACGGATAATTTCTATGTATTGTGAAATAGTTAACGATGGGCCGGCTTCGACACAGCTTATCCCACCCATTTCGCAGATTTAAGGGGGCTGTTAATGTGCAAAGCGAGGAAGACCAGGTGAAGAACCAAGACAACACGGTCGGAACTCTACTACCAACCTCTCCCAGCCAGTCTATTATCCGGTCAATCCAGTCAGCAGAACCCTCCAGGCCACTGGACTTATGGAAGACCGCCTATGGCCAGCTAGATGAGGAGGATCGAAGGATTTTATCAGAAGTCCAAGTTACTGCAAGCTCCATTCGTCAGGAAGATCAACCGAGGGATTTGATTGAGGAGGTAATTCACCTAACGACAGAGCAATACGAGCAATACCAGCAGGAGGCAACGGGAAAACTTCGAACATCCTCTAGAAAAATCATCAATGCGGCACTCTCATTTAAAGATATCATTGGCGCTGTTGCGACTTTTGACCCTACCCAGCATGCAGCTAGTGCTTGGGCAATCGTATCATTGGGGTTAACAGTATGTAATATCCACCAGCCAGTTAAACCAGTTGACTAACTCTGTGATTGAGTATGTAGATGACTAAAAATCATCATGACCTACGAGATGCCTTGTTTGACTCTTCGGAATACCTGGCGGATGTTCTCGCGCAGTGTGCCTTTATTGAGAAGAAGTTTTACCTTGACGGCAGCTCAAAGACCAAAGAGGACCTAGGAAACGCATTAATCAAACTCTACAAAGCCATACTGCACTATACAGCACAGGTACAAATGACCCAGAATGCTAGCAGGGGAAGGAAGATGCTGAACAATGTTACCGCCATTACTGAGCATCCGCTCACAGAGCTCAAGAATTCGGTGGAAAAGGAAAGGGGCAATTTACACAAGTTGGCTGGATTAGTCAGCCACCTGCACCATGAAGAGAAAGCAGAGAGTATCCTACACAAGATCGACAAGCTAGCTGACTCCATGAAGCTGCTTATTGAACAGTTTAGCCTTGTGAACCTACATGTCTCGGAAGGAGCATTCTATGATTCTTACGTCAATGAACATGAGGATTTCTGTCTTCCAGGAACCAGGACCGAACTTCGTTCCCAGATTTCAGAGTGGGCCAAGTCGTCAGACGGTAAATGTATATTTTGGTTGAATGGAATGGCGGGGACAGGGAAGTCTACCATTGCCCGGACGGTGGCACAATCTTTCAAAAACCAAGGACTGCTTGGTGCCACATTTTTCTTCAAGCGAGGCGAAGCTGACCGCGGTAACGCGAAATACCTAATATCAACAATCACAAGGCAGCTGGTAACCAGGCACCGACAATTGGTGCCTGACGTATTGAAGGCCATCAAGAATGAACCAAGTATCTCGTCTAAATTTCTCCGTGAACAGTTTGATAAGCTTCTTTACCAGCCCCTGCTGAATCTGTGTCCAGACCAATCTATAACAATTGTGATTGTTATTGATGCATTGGACGAATGTGAAGGGGAGGATAATATGCGGCTTATACTTCAACTCTTGTTCAAATTACAGGATATTCAATCTGTACATCTGCGAGTGTTCCTCACTAGCAGACCAGAACTGCCGATTCGCCTGGGTTTCAAGCAAGAAGAAAACCATCAGGACGTAGTTCTTCATGACCTTCCTGCCCCGGTCATTGAACATGATATTCGCCTGTTCCTAACAAAGAAGCTTTCACAAATACGGGATGAACGCGAGCTCGTCTCAGACTGGCCGGAGCAAGAAAATATAGAAAGGCTGGTAAAGATGGCGGTTCCTTTGTTCATCTTTGCGGCCACGCTTTGCCGCTTTGTTGGGGATGCAGACTGGCTTCCACACGAACGTCTTCTCGCTGTTCTCCAGGATAAAGCAGCAACATCAACATCAGATATGGAAAGAACATATCTACCAGTATTAAATCAACTCGTTGCTGCCAAGAACAAAAAGGATTATACGGCACTCTTGCAGGAATTTCAAGATATTATCGGAGTGATTATTCTTCTCGCTACTCCTCTCTCTGTTATTGCTCTGGCCCAACTGACTGGGAAATCAAAGGATGCTATCAGTAATCGGCTGAATAGGTTTCACGCAGTTTTAAATGTACCAAATTATCCTGAGGGGCCGGTTCGCATTTTACATTTATCATTTCGAGATTTTTTGGTTAGCACAGAGGGTGATTTTCGCGTTGACGAGAAGGATACGCATGGAAAAATAGCATCACATTGTCTCCGTGTTATGAATACCCGACTCAAGCGCAATATCTGCAATTTGCCAAGTTACGGAACGCAGCGTGAGAATATTGATCCTCAGATCATTAGTCAACACCTCACAGCTGATCTACAATACTCCTGCCGCTACTGGGTACACCACCTTAAAAAGGGCAACGGTCATATCTCTGTGTCTCAGATTCTTAGTTTTGTCAAAAAGCAGTTCCTTCACTGGTTAGAGGTACTGGCTTTAATTGGAAGTATATCTGATGCGGTGGAGATGATAGATATACTGAGGTCAGGTGCAGCATGGGTAAGTGTCTATAAGCTCCACAACTATATAGTCTAATATATGTTTTAGGAACATATAGATGCTGAACTTTCAGACTTCCTTTATGATGCAAAAAGATTTAGTCTTAAAAATGGATATATTGCGAGTATTGCTCCACTTCAGCTCTACTGTTCCGGGCTAGTATTTTCACCAATGCAAAGTATTATTAGAAAGATGTTTTCTGATAGCATACCCAAGCAATTAAACATACTACCACGGGTGAAAGATTTATGGAGCCCAGAACTACAAACACTCGAGGGCCATTCCGATGTGGTTTCTTCAGTGGCCTTCTCCCCTGACGGGCAGACGGTAGCTTCCGGCTCAGGAGACAAGACCATCAAGCTCTGGGAT